TTTAATCGCATGTGCTTGCCAGAGAGCGGGAGAAAGCATCCACCAATAGGGTGTGGTCATGCTGCCATTCCTTCTCTTCTGTTTTTCCATTCTTGCAAACATATATGCACACCTAAGACTGGGATTCAAACTGCCATTGGTCATGTAGGATCCAGCTCACTTAACCACTAGGCTGCCCTACTTGGCTCATTTCTACCATCGATATTAAACCTAAGTATTTATAAAATGCCATTACTCTTGCCATGTTTCTTCCACCCTAGAACATCCCCTGGTCCCAAATCCTTCAAAGTTCTACCCACATAGATATGTGACCTCTAGGAAGTTCAACAGGATGCCTGCTGTTCCCATGTTAAACATCTCTTTACTGTGCCCCCACGGCTCCTCTATGATAGTACTCACCATGCTGTACTATAATTGTTGGTTTAGACATCTAGCTGCTCTAGGTGAGGTTCTGAGGGGCAGCCACTGAGTCTAACTTCGCTTTTTCCTCTGCCCGTGGCCCAGCACCTGACACAGAATAGGTGCTCTGCCAACATTTGATGAGCAAATGATTGCGCAAACGAAGCTTTGCTGTACTATGATAGCCTTTAGAGGGAGAACATTAAGGAAGGGAGACACGAACATTAGCGGGTTTGCAGGGATCCTAGAACCTTGTGCTCCTGAACACAACCAGGCCTGGCGCAGGCCTTCACTCTCCCGCCGGCCTCTGGGGGCGCTGTGTGACCGGCGTCCGCTCTCTGCCACCGGAACTCGTCTTGCCCGACGGAAGGTAGAGGGCGGGCGTCCGGTGGGGGCGGGGCTCGGCGGAGCCTAGAACGGCCGGAGAGGTGCAGGGGAGCTTCCCCTCGTCGTTCCCCGCGTGCTCCGAGGAGCCTGCCTGGGGTGCGGCTGGGGCACGGGGAGGTACGGACCTGTTGGGCGCCGGGATCGGCTTGCGCGTGCGGGGCGCTTTAGGTGGCAGATGTCTGCCTCCGATTCCTTCTGGGTGTTCCCTCCTGGGGAAATCTATGGCGGAGGCCCCTCTGTCAGTCTGTCTGGGGCTCTCTCTTAACTGCAGGGCTCACTGTGTGGGGAGGGGGACTGTGTCTGGACCTGTCCCCTGGAGGAGTTTTTGTTTTGAGCCCCTCTTTGGGCGTGGCCTCTGAATTTCTGCTCTCCTGGCGAATCTTTGGAGCGCTTGGGGAGTCTGTGTAGAGAAAGGGTTTCTGTGTCTGGGCCTTCTTTTCTGGGTCTTTCAGCGCAAAGGCAGCAAACATTTTTATTTCCGAAGTCTTTTTTCTTTAGATTCTTTCATTTCTTTTTTGTCTGATCTTCATCTTAGCCATGGATTTGAGTGGAGAGCAAAGGAAATTGATCGTTGTCCAGATAAGTCATAGCGAAAGCAAAGTATCCTCTTATTTGTTTTGTCTCCCCAAGGAGCAGATGGATTAAGGCATGTCCACACAAAGTATTATCCCTGCCTTTCCATTATTATTATTATTGCAGTAGGGCATGTGCACTCGTCAGAGAGAAGGGAAGAAAGAGAGTGAGAAAGCACCCCGCAGGAGGGAGTGATCACATCCCAATCCCTTTTCTCTTCGGATTTTGGGCACACATACACAAGCACTCAAGCCTCGCGTGTCTTTGTCTTTCAAGCAGTGGGGTCCAAGACTCAAATGTTCAGTGTTAATGTGGGATCCAGCCGCCTTATACCTAGTTATTTCTCCATGGAGTCATGGTTAAAAAGAGGAAACTGGCCCAAGCTCCTTTCAGTAATTGATACTGTCCACATCTTGTGCATAGAAAGGAACCTGGCCAATGGTTCTTTTAACCAGTGACTTTCCTCTCCCTGGACATTTACTGAGCACCCACTCTGTGCCAGGTACTGGCTAAGCACTGGGGATAAGAAAAATGAATGAAATACAGCTCACTGTCCAGTAGTGGACAGACATCATTTTAATGTACCCTGCTTGTAAGAGGGATGGCGCTGAGTCCCTGAGGTTCCACGTGCAGCTCAGAAGTTGGGCCCTCAGTTATGAGAGGTCTGCCCCCTGTTTTGATCCTGTCTTCCCTTACCTCACCCTTGCCCAAGGTTAAAGGCTAAGCATGGGGAAAAGCTGCAAAGTGGTCGTGTGCGGCCAGGCCTCGGTGGGCAAAACTTCAATCCTGGAACAACTTCTGTATGGGAACCATGTGGTGGGTAAGTACTGTTTGAGGTGGGGGAATGGTGGGGAAACCTGGAGAACAAGGACCAGGATTTGATCATATGCGAAGACTAAAAGCTGCTTCTGGTGGTTTGCATCACACATAGTGAAACTTACATTGTAACCCCCAAGTCTATGACCAGTTAGGGATCTGGAGGGAGGAAAGCAGTATTTGAGATAGGGAAGAGAAGCTCCCAAACCCCACTTTTACTTAGCATGGTGTTAGCATGAGAGCGTTGTCTGCTCTTCCAAACCATTCCATCCTGCCAGACTCAAGCCTCTGGTGTCCTATCCTCAGCCCCCATGTTTATTTCTCTTATCTGGTCAGCCTGTTAGTTTGTCCTAATCTCATATTTCCCATCTCATCCCTACTTTAAACAAGTTTTCTTATTTTATCTCAGGTTCTGAGATGATTGAGACACAGGAGGACATCTATGTGGGCTCCATTGAGACAGACCGGGGTGTACGGGAACAGGTGCGTTTCTACGATACCAGGGGACTCCGAGATGGGGCCGAACTGCCCCGGCACTGCTTCTCCTGCACCGATGGCTATGTTCTGGTCTACAGCACGGACAGCCGAGAATCTTTTCAGCGTGTGGAGCTGCTTAAGAAAGAGATTGACAAATCCAAGGACAAGAAGGAGGTGCGTGACTGGACTCCCAACAGTGAGAGCGCACAGGCCCTGGGTAGGCTTTGGGAGACCTGGCATGGCTCTGTGTTCCACTCATTTGCCTGGAGCTGGATGAGGAGCAGGAGGCGGGTAAAGGCCAGTACAGGGTCACCCTCAGAGATGGCCACATGTTGAGGCAGCTCAACCATTAGTTGCTCTTTGATTTAAGGGGTCCCTGATCTAATGCATGAAACCCTCGCTAGCTTTTCACCCCATGATGGTTCTGTGCTCTTAGTATGAGGTTCTTCCGTTCTCCAGAATCCTCCTCTAAGCAACAGGCATCCTGGAGAGGGCTTCCTCACCAGTTGTTTTTTCAGAAACAACTAATAACTGCTAATAACAAGCACACATGGTGATTCAGGGCTTGTGATGGAACTCCTGGAGGGCGGGCCAGGTGGAGGCCAGAATTTGAATAGAAGAAAAAGTAACCATCTCCTTCCCCAGTCAGTGATTTCTAGTGTAGGAAAAAGGGGGACACGGACCATTGAGACTGTCCTCTTATATAACTCCAGTGGTGCCAGCCCCCTACCTATTCCCAGGGTCCATGATATATCCACCCACAGGCCTCTACTCTGTCCGTCTTCACAGGTCACCATTGTAGTCCTTGGCAACAAGTGTGACCTACAGGAGCAGCGGCGTGTGGACCCAGACGTGGCCCAGCATTGGGCCAAGTCAGAGAAGGTGAAGCTGTGGGAGGTCTCAGTAGCTGACCGCCGCTCCCTCCTGGAGCCCTTTGTCTACCTGGCCAGCAAGATGACCCAGCCCCAGAGCAAGTCTGCCTTCCCCCTCAGCCGCAAGAACAAAGGAAGCGGCTCCTTGGATGGCTGAAGAGGTGCCATTCCTTCTTAAATCGCCCCTCCCAAGCCATTCCAGCTCTGGGCTCTGGAATTTTTGAAGGCAAGGGTGGTGGTAGACAAGCTGTCCTACCCAGTCAGCAGGGGGCGCTCTGCACTAGGCCAACCTGCCAGGCTGACCAGGCCCTAGCCACGCTGCTCCTTTTCAACTTAAAGTGCCCCCTCTTCTTTACTGCCCCCACTTCCACTGCCCACCCCCCTTTCCTCCCAGCTTTCATCATATCTGCTCTATTGTCACCTGGGGACATTGTGGGTCGGTATCCCTCCCATCTGCCCCACGCAGGAAGCAGAGCTACCACGCAGAAGTGCCCAGACTGGGATTCAGTTTTGATTATAAGGATCCCTCCCCACTGGGCTTCCTGCCAGCCTCACACACACACTC